GGTAGGGGGTAGGGTCCTAGGGGGGCAGTTAGGATGGGGGGAAGGTCTCAGGAGGGAGCAGTCAGGGGACAAGGAGCAGGGAGGCTTAGGTAGGGAGTGGAATCCTGGGGGGTAGTTAGGGGTAGGGGTCCCAGGAGGGGGCAGTCAGGGGACAAGGAGTGGGGGGGAGGGTTGGGGATTCTGAGGGGGGCGGGAAGTGGGAGGCAGTGAAAGGGGCGGGGCTAGGGCAGGACGGGGACAGGGCTCCTCCCTTCCTCTTTTTTGATTGTTCAAATATGGTAACCCTAACAGAGACATAGGACTTAATGGATGAAAAGACTTGAATCGTTCCACCCACCCACCCCTTTCCCTCCCCCAGGATAAGGTTCCTTGAGCCATATTAGCAAGGCAAAGTGATGAAATGTCAGCAGCAAGGCAAGCTTCTGTCAAACTTCAGTTTCCTATGCTGTCTGTCTGGCACCTTGCACAGGCATTAAGTTCACTCACTAAATATTTTAAGAGGTTTTCTATGTGATGGCAGTTTAGTGCACAGACTAAAACATGGCTGGAAGGTTTAAGGTTTGTTTGGAAATAAAATGCTGGGCTGAAATAAAGAACCATATTCTTTTCCCAATGCACATGTGTAACTCCCATTAGTGTTAATGGGAGTTTTGTGGGCACATCAAGAGAAGAACATACTCTTTAGCATGCAGAATAGAACACAGCAACCACGCATGAACAATGATTTTGAAAGTTCTTTGGGCCAAAAGCTGCCCTCAGAAATGTACAGATAGCTTTCACTGAAATCAAAGCAAGCTGTATGCATATAGCCAACAGTGGAATTGAAGTCTTTGTGCCTGCGTTGAGAGAGAGCTGAGCAAAGAAGACCTCTCTAAGCAACAAGTAAATTGCTTGTCATACTGTTGTGTAGTTATTTCTAATTTGTAGGGCTGATTAGTTAGAAGCGAGAGCATTTTTATGTTGCATTTTTATGTACCTTTGAATGGCATACTTGAAACAAAATGTCTTTTAGATATGACTTTACAATTACCTCTCTGGGATTAATCTCAAACTACAGGGTTGCTAGGTAGTGCTGCTAGGTAACTGCTGCATCAGAGAGAGGTTTCTGTAAGATTTTTGTATCTCTGGGGGATTGCAGGATGAATCACACTATGGCTGTATGTCTAGGTTTCTGAAGGGAGGGTGTGAGGGGTGACCAGTTAGGAAAATTGAAGTTTAGTTAATAGAAAACAGTAGTTTCATACAGAACAATCAGGCCTTAAAAATGTCCCTCAATTTTCTTATAGCAGGGTTAGGATTAAGTTATGCTGCTTTGTAACATTTTAGAAAGCACTGACTGCTTCTCCAGCAGAGACGATTGTTATATTCACCACTCCCAGTAGTAAACAGTTCATGAATAATTGATGAAATTTCATAAATATGCAGATGAAAAGAAGAGATTGTTGTGGGGTTTTCTCCTGGGTCCTTATTAATTGTGAACCATCGTGTTAACTGCTGCTGTTGATTCTGAGAGAGCAAAAGGATGTTTGTTTGAAAGTTAAATATTTGCTATAATTATAAAATGCATTATTTAACTGGTGGTATATTGACTTTGGCTGGTGTGCATGGAAAAAGCTTCAGAAGCTGTTTTAATGACTTTAATATTGTACATCAGCTATGGATATGTTTTCTGCAGACTAAAAGCATAATGTTGCACTAAAAATATAAACAAATATATTTACTAATAATTCACATGTGTATTCCAAGATGTAGTCCTTAAATAAGGACAAAGCAGATTGTATTTTGGGGATTCATTAGTGCAGATCATCTAAAGCTGTGCTTCTTAAGAAGTTCTACATTATGACAAACTAAGCAGCCAGCATGTGCATATGTCAGGCAGCTCATTTGTTTCAGCAGTTGGGTGAATAAGAAGTTATAAAATATATTCTCTGCATTCCGACTACACTATCATCGTTATGATAGAGCTGAAATTGTTGTAGAGTAGATTTTAAAGTGTAATTTTTCCCTAAAGCTCAATTAGATGTATACCATCAGATTCGGATCTCAGTTACTTCAATGCAACTGAAATCCGAATTTGGTTCAAGTGTCCAAAATGGACAGAATATGAACATTGTCTGTATATGAGAATCCTAGTCTAGTTTTCCTCAAGTAACCACTCCGGTATGGACATGAATTTAAATGGCTAGTTTAGATGTGAATAGATGTCTGTGGAACTACTGTAGGGAAATACGGGGAATTGTTCTGTCACCTTTGGAAAGCCAGCTTCAATTGAATTACATGTAGAGGTTTTTATCTAGTCTCCAACAAGCGTCCACAACACAGCATCACTACACATAGTTCAGCATGGCTGGCAGTCTCTGCTCAGAAGAGACCTATGGTGGGAATTGTGGGGAGAGGAAGAAGCTATTGCAGGTCAGAATTGACTCATTGACTTCAGTGGAGCCAGGATTTCACACTAGATGTTCGATATTCCTCCCATTGAACACTGGTATAGTGATTCACACGCTGTCGCCGCACACAACAGTTTCAGAAATAATGTGGTACACTAGAGCACAATTGAAAGATGATGCTTTTACCTTTTGTGAAAGAAACCTTGTTAGAGAAACACTTACTTTCCAAATAATTTAAACTGTAAATGTTTGTTTTCCCCAATACATTCCAATGCATTACACTTTTAAAAAAAAATGTAGTACATTTTATAATCCATGTGGTACTTACAAAGGCAAATGAATTGTTCGGACATTATCCTTGACATCTATGCACACGTCAAACTACGCAGCCAAAGCCTGAAGCCTATTTGCAGCACAACCATATGGTGCAAGTCATGTGCTATCAAGTAACAAACAGTTGTTTAAATGTTTACAAGTGGTTATGGAAAAGCAAAAGAGGCATCCTCCTAAGAAAAACCAGTTTTCATTATTCAAATCCTACAGTTTAGTATCTTTTCCTACTGTTTCAATAATTTTAATAGATGGAAGAAATGCAAGTGTATAAAACATACTTAAAGGTTTCATTATTGAAGGGATAGAATCAATTTAAGAATAACACTTCTGTCTGAAGAGAGACAAGGTGGGTGAGGTAATATCTTTTCTTGGACCAGTTTCTGTTGGTGGAAGAGACAAGGTTTCAAGCTTCATAGAGCTCTAATGAAGAAGAGTTCTGGGAAGCTTGTCTTTTCCACCAACAGAAGTTGGTCCAAGAAAAGCTATTACCTCACCCACCTTGTCTCTTCATATCCTGGGACCAACACAGCTACAACACTGCAAACAACTTTTTATCTAAAACCTTTTTGCTGGCTGTTCCTATTCGTAACGACTAAAGTTTCTGTAACTGAAAAAGAGACAAGAAAAATATATTTCTATTTAGTTTTTGTTTACTTTGTGGATTTCAGACACATTGGCCCCAATTCAACAAAGCATGT